CCCATTTGTTCACTGGGACTGGGCTAAGTGCAACAATGAGATGCAAAAGTGAATAATGAGGAGCTGGGAGTCTAGAGGAGGGGATGATCGAAAAAGAAATCATTTGAGGACGTGCTCTAGGGCAGGGGTCCCCAACTCAGTACCAGTCCGTGGCTTGTTAGGAACAGGGCCTCACAGCAGGAAGTGAGCGGCAGGTGGGGTAGCAAGCGAAGCTTCATCTGTATTTGCAGCCGCTCCTCAGTGCTAGCATCACCGCCTCAGCTCCACCTCAGATCATCAGGCATTAGAGTCTCATAGGAGCACCGGTCCCTGGTGCCAAAAAGGTTGGGGACCGCTGCTCCAGAGTATGTCCTCTGCTCTAGGAGACAGAGCAGGGAGCCACTGATTCTGCCAGCCGAAGTGAAAGAAGGCTTTGTAGGCTTTGTAGGTGAAAGGGGTAGAGGCCAAGGGATGAGGATAAACGACAATAATAATCGTTTCTCTAGTACTAAGTATGGGCCCAGCACTTTCAGTATATGAATTCATTTAATCCTCATAACAAGCCTGTGATGGGCACTGTTGTCATGTCTATTTCACAGATGAGGAAACTGATGCTCAGTGAAGCTAAGGAGCCTGTCCAAGGTCACGCAACTAGTAAGTGGCAGTTTGGCTCCAGAATCCAGTTTGTAAACCACTGTTCAACATGGCCTCTTGCAGTTTGTGAGCACAACTTATCTGGGAAATATGAGCGGCTTGCCTGGAGAACAGTGGTTCTGAATATTTTTTTCTTCTGTAGCCCACTTAGGAAAGGCAATCAATTTATCTCACCAATTCTTACTTTCCGGAGGGGGCGGGAATATCTCTTTGATAAAGCCTTGGAGAATATAGTAGTTGCTAGGGCTGCCATAATAAATACCACAAACTGGGTGGCTTGGACAACAGAAATTCATTTGGTCACAATTCTGGAGGCTACAAGTCCAAGATTAAGGTGTCAGCAGGGTTAGCTTCTTCTAACGCTCTCCTTGGCTTATAGTTGGCTTCCTCTAAAGGTGTCTTTACGTGGTCTTCCTCTTGTGTGCCTGTGACTTAATCTCTTCTTGTAAGGACACCAGTATTGGATCACACTGGATTAGAGTCCACCCCAATGACCTCATTTAACTGTCAAGGTCCTGTTTCCAAATAGAGCCACATTCTGAGGTTGAAGGGGTTAGAACTTCAACATATGAATGGGGTGGAGGCACAATTCAGTCCATAAGAGTGAGCAACATAGTAAATGAATTATACTGTGAGTTTTTACACATGATTTTATATTATTTAAAAATGCTCTGTACATTTTTAAATACTTTTTTATACTTTCCTTGGTGGTAGATGCAAACTGTTTATATATAATACATTTACAGGCATCGCGTTACCAATGACGCATAACTGTTTAAGCTTATTGGAGCGAGGGGTTGGTTCCTGTCTACAATCACTGTAGCAGTACAGTTAGGAAACACGTATGAACAGACTCGTCTTTAATTAACGGAAAGCTACAGGTCAAGTGCTATAAATATGCTCTCTACGCACTCTAAGAGAAACCAAACAGATCTCCACCAACAATGATGTATAATTACAAAGCAAGAATAACACCAGTGAAAATCATGGTTACCTGGATACCACACTGATGATGCATTGCTGACACAAAGTCCACTTGGAAGTGCAGGCGTTCCGGCCATCAGAACTTGCTCCTGTGCATCCAGCAGGGTCTCTGCAGTGCTGAATGGCTGCCAGACTTCTCAGTTGAATGGTAAATAAGAACCACTAGTGAATTCTGACTATTACTAAACCTTAGTAATTTTTAGTAATTCTTTTATAGGTTCATAATGAGTAGCCCTTAATCTCATGTAAAAACGAATCTATGGAATTATGATTTTTCGCTAATAAGAGCAACAGAAAGAGAACAATAATGAGTATGAATTTTGGGTCCATAATATTAGAGACATAACTCAACCCTCTCACTTCTGTAAATCCCATTTAATTGGCTCCAAGCCTTACATGAACTGGGACTTAGTCATTGTGAGAGTTCCCTTTCCTTCCACCTTACTCACCCTGCCTAAGGAGGTCAAACAAGATTCTGACAGACGTGCTATCAGGGAGCCAAGGAACCCAGCGCTTACTCTCTGTCGACTGGCTTCATAGCATTATTCTTGGCATTGCTGGGAAGAACTGGTCACATGCCCTGCTTCTAGCAGACTTGGCTATTCATCCTCACAGTGCTCCATTCCTGTGACCACCCATCCCTCCACCGAGGTGCTCAGTTATGATGCCCAGAGTCCAGCCTCTACAGACATCCAGAAGCTGCCATCTGCCATTTAGGATTCATGTAGCGGAAACTCAAATTAAAAATTCTTTCATATGTTTTCCTTGCTCTTCATTTTAGTGAGTTTCGACCTACCTTTCTCTTGACTTATTTTATTCCCCTTCTCAAAGCAGTAATCACACCTGTGCAAACATTGACCTGAAACACATTCATTTCTCTCCAGGATATAGTAGGACACTGGCGCTGGAGGGGTACGTGATTTTAAGACCACTGCTGAGGATGGTTGGGATTCGTGAAAGAGTTTTTAAGAAGAGACACGACATAGATTAATCTTTTAAAAAGACTTTTCGATGGACTGGGTATTATGTGATCTTAAGAGATTTTATAATGCACCTGTAGTTTCATCAAAAAATATCTTATTTTTTAGAGATTCGTACTGAAATATGTATGGGTGAAATACATGATGTTTGTTATTTACTTCATAATGCTTTGATGAAAAACATGTGGGAAAATATGGCAAAATATTTATAATTGTTAAATCTAAATGGGGTTCGTGGGCATTTATTATATAGTGTCTTCTGTTTTTCTCTCTGTTTTTATTTTTATTTTTTTATAACAGAAAATGTAGAAATAAATCCTTCCAATGGCTCTCTAGGGATTGGATGGGAAGGAAGTAGGGAGCCAAGTTATTGAGGAGGTGAAATCAGTAATTTGGGTGAACACTGATGAGAGGTTGTGCTAAAACGCATCTCTGGTTGCCGCGGACACTGCGGGCTGAAAGGTACCCATCCGGTCTGTTCTCTTCTCTCATTCCCACAGTCGAAAGTGCTTCGAGAAAAATGGCTGCTGCAGGGTATACCTGCTGGTACTGTCGAAGAGGAGGAAGCCAGGAGACGGCAGTCTGAGGAGGATGAGTTCAGAGTCAAACAACTAGAAGATAACATTCAGAGGTAGGTGCTCCCCACGCAGGGCTCCCAGGTTGTAGTTTTACAGTGCAATAACCACTACTGTCCTGTAGGGGGCTATGCTCAATGCTGTCACCTTTTTCCAGCACTTTAGTATTATCTTCCTAAACGGAGTCCACACATTGATATCACTTAAACTCTTCCAGATAACCCAGAATTATTAATCTGAGTACTAATTTTTATATTGGACTGTCATACAGTTTAGTGATATCTTCAAGAACCAATGAGGTGCTGTAAGCTGCTTGGCCCTTCACTAAATGCCCCCTTTTGAGTTCTATCAGCTTCTGTCTTTTTTCTCCTTTGGCTTGGGCTGTTAGCTGTTTTTGCTGCTGTAGTGGGTCTGTTTTCAGTTTTGCTACAATAGATCAATTTGAAATGGGAAAATGGTAGCCAAGGGTCTTGGGATGGAAATGAGTATACCAGCCCCGAATGAGGGTATCCCTGTGTGTTATGACCCTATGCTCTAACAATTAACTTTATATTGTCTACTTTCACTGCTCAGAGGGCGAGCTGCTTCCTTTATGGTCCTCAGCCAGGCTCTGAACATTTCATTCTGGGAGATAAGTGACCTTCCTGTGACCAGCGGCTGCCCAGGCTCATACAAGAGCAAAAATGTAGGTTTCCACTTGGGAACTGTAGCCGTGCTGGGTCACAGGACACGTAGCCAGAAAGAGGAGGTGGCAGTGGAAGGTGGCAAGGGTAGATGATTTTATTCTGTCCCACCATATTCTGCCTGAAATTTCACCCTGGAGAGCTTCATTTTTTTTTTTCTCCTGAGGTTATACTCTCTTTTAAAATACAAGTGTCATAGCTACCTTGCTACCAGCCATTTATTCCCAAGAGTAAATGAAGACTGTGAGAGAACCTAGGGGACTCGAGTAGGCACCAAAGGGAAAAGCTCCAGAGGCCTGTGTCCTTTCTTTGCTTGGGCCCCTTAAAGAGCTCTCAGAGCAGTTTGGCTAAACTTCGTTTGTGGGGGAAACTGGGTAAGAAAAAGTTTTTATGGGATATGTGTGTATGTGTACATAGACATAGACATACGTATGTGTGGATATATAAAGTGTGTACACATACTTTTTCTTAGAATACAAAAGGTAATGTATATATTATTACCATACATATATGGCACTGGAAAAAGAAAATTTTAATCCTGTAAATCCTGGTGTAAGCTTGTGAGGACAGCAAAGGCCAGAGCTTCTTGTTAGAAGCCCAGAGAATAGAAAGGGGAGGGAGGGAAGAGGATGAGGTAACTCAGGGTCCTGAGCTTCGGGGCTTCCCTCTCCTTAGAAGTGGCTCAGCTTCCTGCATCTTAGACATGATGAGGGAGCCAAAGATTATTGGAAATATTGACAATAAATTAGAGGGGGAAAGGCAGCTCGGAGAAATGGTTTTATAGAAGATTTGTTTTTAAGTCTCAAGTGACAAGTTCATAGTGCTTTCAGCTGCAGTGAGAGTTGACACCATATCTCATCTCTTAGTCTTTACTCTTGTTAAAAGTTCCAGTCATTTTCTTGTCCCTTTCTTACTGGTTTTACATGATCACAACAGATGAGTCTGGTGCAAAGTAGATGCTCTACAGCTATGTGTCAAATAAAAGAATTGAGACTGGGTGCACTGTGCATGGGGAGGACCCTGCCTAGCAGAGGAAGCCTGGGAATTTGCTCTCCAATCCAACTTGGAAAAACCCTAGGGACCAAGTGGCCTGGGCACAATCTATTCACAGCAAGAACCGTGGTTCAGATTTTGTGGGAGGCAGCATTATGCACTTAGAGATCAAATTGAGAATCTGATCTTTATGTAGTTGAGAATTCTGGAAACGATCTACAGATCTGATGTAGCAGGACTACTTAATAAAGAAATTCCAAAAGAAAAAAAACCACTTTGTTTGAAGCAAAACAATCTGTAGATCTTTAGATTTGGGTCCACTAATCTAAGTCCCTCTCAAGCAACAAATTAGAGTCTCCTAAAGAGATATATGAACTCTTTTCAAATTATAAAATGTATTAGTGCAAATTGTGCCCTGTATTTTGGTCCATGTTGGCCAACCAAGAGTAGCTTGAAGAATCTGAAGGAGCAAGAGAGAATAGTAACCAAAGAACAGGGAGAATGTCTGTAAGGAAGATTAAGGGAAATCTGGGTATTTTAGTTTAGATCAAGAAAAGATAATAGCAGCCTAACTCAGAACTTCAAGTGTGTAGTTCAAGATTTTAGGCCACCTCATAATTTTTTATGTCTGGGTCATTCTGAATGTGATAAAGACTTAAAGCATGAGAATTAGACATATGTCTATTTTCTTAGATATCTTCAAGAAGAAAAAACATAACCTCCTTTCTAATTATGATTCTAAAGTTCTTTATAGGCCAATAGCAATACAAGAAGTTCCAGGTTTACAGATGTTTTATTCCAAAATGTTAATTGTAAATTGGTGGTGGTTTGGAACTGAGAATGTTGCCTCACTTCTCAAACTGTAATATACTGTGCTTAGATTTGGAAGGAAGCCCACAAGGAGGAAGGAAGGGAGGGAAGAAGGGAAAGAAGGAAGGAAGGAAGGAAGGAAGGAAGGAAGGAAGGAAGGAAGGAAGGAAAGAAGGAAGGAAGGAAGGAGGAAGGAAGGAAGGAAGGAAGGAAGGAGGAAAGGAAGGAAGGAGGGAAGGAAGGAAAGAAAAGAGAGAGGGAAGGAGGGAGGGAGGGAGGAATGGAAGGAGGGAAGGAAATATGTAACTAGACTATTAAATCCTGGGTCTTAGAATCACCTGGGAAGCTTTGTAAAAATACAGATTCCCAGACCTCATTCCAGGAAATTTTGATTCATTAACTCAGGTGAGGAGGCCTATAATTTATCTTTTTTTCTAAAGAATGTGCCAAGTAATTTTGCGGGCTTAAGAACAGTTGCTGTAAATGGAAAAAAAAAAAAAAAAAAAAAAAGACCATAAATGAAATTCCATTTTAATACCTAGAAACCCCCAAGGGAAGTAAGAATTAAATAGTGTTTATAAGAAAATTGATTTCACACAAACAGATAAAGAAGGACAACCCTGACCTTTGATTTCTAAGACCGATTTCTAAGCCTTAGTGCTTTGACTCAGGGAAATTTGAAACCTACTTTGGGACTCGCGTAGGTGGGAATAGAATCATCTATCTGGCATAGAGCTCAGGTCTGTCTGCCGTAGGCTCCACAGTGGAGCCAAGCTACCATCTGAACTTGATTAGAAACAGTCTTGGTTTAGCAGACTAAGAATGATACAGGTCAGGAAAGCTGGCCACTTTCCCAAAGGCCAGAAAATTCTACCATATTTTTCAAAGATTTCTGGTTGAAATTAAGAGCCCTGTAGCCTGAAGTGATGACATCAAGGTGGCAGGAAAGGTAGCTAACTGGTCACTGCAATGGATAAATAGCTTATCATTCTTTTGCACAGATTTTCCTGGAGCAATGTCAGGATCCCCAGTGTATTGATTATATTCTTGGCTCACTGGAAACCAGAAGAAAATAGGCTAAAATAATTAATAATAATAATATTAATAATAATAATAATTGTTGAAAGCAGAATCTATATACAGATTTCTGTTTTTAAATTTTATTTTTAAAACATTTCAAATGCCACATCTTCCATATGCTTTACTTCCTGTTGGAGTGCCATATTGAGAAAGCCCAAAGGATTGTTTCTGAGCCCACTGTCAACCATTGTCCATGCCATCAGTGTGTGCGATGGGTTCCTGGGGGCCACATGTGGGCCTCACATTGATGCTTTTGGAGAGTTTGGACAGTTAGATCCACACTAGCCCTGTCTACTTCACATCTGCTCCAATCAACAAGTCTTGTTGCTTGCACTATGATTTTCCCACTTAAGAGTCTCTATCTAATGTCATCAGGTTTTATTCAAGTGTTTAAAATGTAGTGTTCATCGCTTTCTTTGATTAGTGAGAAATAACGGGGAAAATTTGCTCCTTGCCTTGGAATTAGCCCAGTGAAGATGAGAAACCTCATGGCGTAGTAAATGGAAATGGAATGAGCTGTCACAAATCCACAGTGTTAATTTTAGCTCTGCTGAAAATTTGCAATGTGACTTTGGGCGAGTCTCTCGTTCTCTCTGATCTTGGATTTCTCATCTCTTAGTGAGACGTCTTTCAGGATCTTAAGAGCTTCGGTATTCTGAGATTCTCTAATTTGGGAGATTGGCTAGAGATCCCCTTTTTGAGCAAATATAGCTGTGCAGGGAAATGTCACTATTGTGGAAGGAAGTGGTTTTGGAGACAGGTCAGAATTGGGAAAAGAGGTTAAGTTCTCAGGAAACAAAAGCCCCTTTAGAGTATGCAAAAATGAGTATGTGTAACTGACTCATCACAGAGGAGATTAATTCATCTGAATAGCTGTCAGTTGTAAAATATGTCACATCAAATATTCATTGACTAAGATATTAAAGTCTCAGTTACACACCCAGAGAGGGCCATACAACTTAAAAAAAAAAAAATCCAAGATGCAAGTAGGCTAGTTCATTTCTGCTTCTGAGTTACGATTCTCAGAGTGCCTCTGTTGGTCTCTGATGGGTACCAGAATTCACTGAATTTTCCACATTCTTAAGTCTCGGAGCAGAAGACTGGAGACATCAGGCATAAGCATCTTGGGGTTTTGGCAACCAATAAGATGACAGTCACCCACAAATAACTGTTCTAGAAACGGCAAGCACAGAGATGTTCATTGGAAACACAAAGGACACTTGCTTGGGATTCACTGTGTTCTTCCTACTTGCTATTTTTCACTCCATGGTGCATGTTGGCAGCAGGGCGTGGGGCACTTCGCACTGGCCTTCCACATCTCCACCCTCCCGGCCTGTGCCCGCCCCACACAGCCACATTTGGCAGTCCAGCTCTGTTCTCATTCCCATTTTTTTTTTGTTTCACCAAAATAAAGCTAAACATACTAGAAACCGTGTCATAACATAGTGGTATCACTATATAGTCTAATATTCATTGGTCTCTTACTTTAG